TATTTTTATATTTTATTATTTTTTAATTAATTGCCATCAGCCTATTTTATTTATATGTCTTGCCATACTTCGGTTATGCTAGGAAATTCTGATCATGAGCCTCTTTATAAGAGAACTTCAATATGTTTGTTATCAGTAAAAATTACATAAATAACCATTCTATCCTTTTGCTGATTCCACTTAAATATAAATTTAAAAAATATAAAGAAAAAAACCTATAAGCCCTGACCATATCCAATGGATCCAGAGAGAAGAGCTTGCAGAAAGAGAACTCATTCAAGGTTTACAAGAAAGAAATGCTCTGAGGCCCAAGAACAGAGACACAGAATATACAAATATTGGTGCTAGAGTGTGACGTGGTAGGCTAAGCTTTTGCCTGTGGCACTGGCATCCCATATGGGTGCTGGTTCATGTCCTGGCTGGGCTGTTCCTCTTCTGATCCAGCCCTCTGCTTATGGTCTGGGAAAGCAGTGGAAGATGGCCCAAGTGCTTGGGCCCCTACACCCATGTGGGAGACCCAAACTCCTGGCTCCTGGCTTCAAATCGGCCCAGCTTGGCAAGTTGCAGCCATCTGGGGAGTGAATTAGGGATGGAAGACCTTCTATCTCCTTTTCTCCCTCTGTCTATCTGTATTCTACCTCTCAAATAAATAAATAAATAAAGTCTTTTTAAAAATACACAAATTTTTTCCTAAGTACTTAAAAAACTAGTTTTTCATTTTGTAATTTTCCTCAATTTTTTTTCTCAAAGTATGCAAAATGATTATATTTACATTTCTCTAATGAGCTGCCTGTCCTGGAAAGAGAAATTTTAATGATATAAAATAATTACCTATTAATAAAAATCACTGAGGCGGGCAATTAAGCCTAAAGATTAAGATGCCTGCATCCCCCTTCTGAGTGCTGGGGTCTGATGCCTGGGTCCAGCTCCTGATTTCAGTTTCCTGCTAATGCAAACTCTGGGTGGCAGTGCTCCTGGCTCAATGGGTTTCCTGCCCACCCATGTAGGAGACTTGGATTGAGTTTTTGGCTCTAGGCTTTGGCCCCAGCCAAAGGCCATTACAGGCATTTATGGTGTGAAACAGCAGATGGGAGCTCTCTCTCTTTTCTCATATAAATAAACATTTAAAAAGAACCACTTCTATCTTAGGTACCTTCTACCTAACTGCCTCTTAAAAGCAGCTGATCAAGACCATATAAGCCAATGTTCTTTTTTTAAAAAAATTTTGGACTGAGGTTTTCCCTTCCTTACTGCCTTCCTCCCTGCCTTCCTTTTTTCTCTCTCTCTTTTTTTCCATTACACTTTATACTTAACGCACTTTGCAAATACACAAAGATTCAAAAAGTTTACGGAAAATGCATATGATGAATTCAATTATGCACAGATTTCAAAAATTTACACCAAAATAAGCTTAACTTTTAATTCCATTTTCTATGAATTTTTTAAAGTATATGGTAAAAAGAAAAATTTAGAAAGACACAGAAGGTTATACAATTAAAAAAGCAGCTAATCATAAGCTCAAGGAATGCTGTTAGGAATTTGCCACCTTCCCTTCTCAATGCCCTATGTTCTTCCTTCATCTGATTTCTCAATGGTGGGTTAGCCTACTTCTGGTTCCAAGAGAAAATGAAATGGGAAATAAGATGAAAACAAGGTTAAAAAACCAAAAACAACTTCAGAAGAACATTACCAGCCCAGTGTTGAAACTGGACTCCTAAAGTATAGTATTCTCAGGTTAGTGGTGCTATCAGATTGGTTGTAACAACACTGTTGCAGCTAAGAGTTGTACCTTGTTCTCTTTGCTATTGTCAGTGAACCAACTGTCGCAGTATCTTAGTTTCTGCCTAGGATTGGAGCACAGCGCTAAATCCAGTGTGAAGATTTAGCTTCAACATTTGTGATTAGAATACATCAATTCTGTTCTTTTTTTTTTTTTTTTTTTAATTTATTTGAGAGGTAGAATTACAGACAGTGAGAGGGAGAGACAGAAAAGTCTTCCTTCCATTGGTTCACTCCCCACTGGCTGCAACAGCTGGAGCTGCGCCTATCTGAAGCCAGAAGCCAAGAGCTTCTTCTAGGTCTCCCATGCGGGTTCAGGGGCCCAAGCACTTAGGCCATCCTCCACTGCCCTCCCAGGCCACAGCAGAGAGCTGGATTGGAAGAGGAGCAGCCAGACTAGAACCGGTGCCCATATGGGATGCCAGCGCCGCAAGCAGAGGATTAACCTACTGCACCACAGCACTGGCCCCATCAATTCTGCTCTAAGCATCAAATCCAAGAGACAAAAAAAAAAAAAAAAAAAAAAAAAAAAAAAAAAAAAAAAAAATCCCTCTTCCCCTGTGGAAGCTGACTGATTGCCTGACATAGTTGACTAGTACCTGTCCTCCAAATTCTTCACTGCTCTGCCCCACAAATGTTGGAACACTATGACCATCCCTCTGGTAATCTTCTTGGTGGTCAACAATCCTTGATGGTTCCAATAGCTTATCTGGAATGTAATCAGCTTTATGAATCCCCTCGGAAGAGATCTTTTGTTTACCTACCTTGCTATCAGTTGAGTTGCTCTATTAAGCAGACTATGTACCAAGTTTTTGTCCCTCCCGACTTGATTTGCCCTGTTGTAACTCATGTGAAGAGAGATGTGTATGGAAAGGCGACTCAGTGCTGAGTCTGAAGTGTTGCTTCAACTATATCTTTAACTGTGCTATCTCATATAATAGTCACCAGTTCCATGTATCTTTTGAGTATTTAAAACATAGCTGCTTGAAAATACGTGCTTTAAGTGTAAATTACACATTGGATTTCAAAGAATCAGGACAAGAGAGAAATCTCAAGATCTAAACAATTTTTAAAATACTGATTAAATTGAAGTGATAATATACATTCATGAAATAAAATATATTATTAAACTTAATTCCATTAGTTTCTTTTCACATTTTAAAATGGGGTTACTAGAAAGTTTATAATTATACATGCCATTACATTATATTTCTTCTAGATTGTGCTGCCTTAGAACATTTAACTGGCCGGCGCTGCGGCTTACTAGGCTAATCCTCCGCCTGCGGCACCGGCACCCCGGGTTCTAGTCCCGGTTGGGGCGCCGGATTCTGTCCCGGTTGCTCCTCTTCCAGGCCAGCTCTATGCTCTGGCCCAGGAAGGCAGTGGAGGATGGCCCACGTGCCTGGGCCCTGCACCTGCATGGGAGACTAGGAGGAAGCACCTGGCTCCTGGCTTCAGATCGGCTCAGCATGCCAGCCGCAGCAGCCATTTGGGGGGTGAACCAATGGAAGGAAGACCTTTCTCTCTGTCTCTCTCACTGTCTAACTCTGCCTGTCAAAAAAATAAATAAAGAAAGAACATTTAACTAACAGCAGTGACAACAAAGACATTCTCTTGAGAAGTTTGTTTTTATATCCAGATAACACTAGAAAGTATCTACAAAATGAAGATTCTTCTTTGCAGAAAAACTTCCAGCTAATAAACACTGAAGGAACAACACAGATTATCTTCTTTCACAAATGCAACTGGAATAATTGATTCAAGCAATAGCGCAGGCCCTGACCACCTGATATTTTACTGCACCTATTTTATCATGTCTCTATTCATCAATCTATTTTGATTCATTTCAAAGTAGATTGCAACCATCAGCACCTGCCTCCCCAATACCCTATGAAATATTCATGCCAAAAATATTCTACCTGAATAAAATGAAGCCTTTAGCCTAATTTCCAGTTTATAAAATATAGCAGATAAACAAGAAGTTATTTAACAATAATTACTTAACAATAAAGTACATAGAAAAATCCAGAATATGGCTCATTCTGTAAAATTACATAATTAAAATGTTAAAATTGCCAACCTAAAATAGGAACTACAAAAAAATAGTCACAAAAGATTTTTTTAAAGACTTATTTATTTATTTGAAAGGCACAGCACAGTGACAGAGATAGAGAGCTTCTGTCCACTGGTTCACTCTCTATGATGCCCGCAACAGCCAAGGAAGAGTCAGGCCAAAGTCAAAAAGGAACTCCATCCAGGTCTCCCCAAGTACTTGAGCCATCATCCACTGCTTTCCCAGGTGCATTTTAGCAGGAAGATGGGTTAGCAGCAGAGTAGCGAGGACTTAGTCGGGCACTCTGATATGGGATATGGGAGTCTCAAGCAGTGGCTTAATGCGCTGCACCACAATTTCTTCCCCAACAAAAAGACATTCTTCCAACAACGGGAAAAATGTGACTGTCCACTGAGAATAAATGCTATGGAATTATTAACATTTTTAGGTGTGATAAAATGGGGACTGTGGGGGCCGGCGCTGTGGCCCAGTGGGTTAAATCCCTGGCCTGAAGCGGGGGCATCCCATATGGGCACTGGGTACTAGTCCCGGTTGCTCCTCTTCCAGTCCAGCTCTCTGCGGTGGCCCAGGAAGGCAGTGGAGGATGGCCCAAGTGCTTGGGTCCCTGCACCCGCATGGGAGACCAGGAAGAAGCACCTGGCTCCTGGCTTCAGATTGGCATAGCACTGGCTGTAGTCACTATTAGGGGAGTGAACCAATGGAAGGAAGACCTTTCTCTCTGTCTCTCTCTTACTGTCTAACTCTGTCTGGCAATACACACACACATATATAATTAATTAAAACAGGTTTGCAAAAAAAAAAAAAAAAAAAAAGACATGGAATCTTACTTGTTTACCTACAGTTGAGAAAAAGAAAATCAGCCATATTCATGACCCTTCTTTCAATCCATGGCTTAGAAATATGTAATGTGGAACAAAGAGGTGTCTTTAGCAGAAGTAGTGAACATAACTAGATAGTATTAGCAATAAACTAAATTATCACAATCCAGTTTTACAGTCAAAAGAGATTTCTAAAAAATTTTTTCAAAAAGGAACACCAGAAAAGAACGAAACAACCTTATTGAATAAGACAGCACATTTATTCAATAAATTAATTAATAACATTTATCTTGTTTCAGGAGCATCAAAGCAAAGAACATGATATTTACCAGGGTTTGTCTTCTCCAGCTGATACCATCGGTAAAATGCTCTTTTCTTTTGTTCACTCAGGTCTGATCCTTGCTGCAACAGCCAATGAGAGATCCGGCTCTGACTGATACCTACGCAGAAAGACAAATAGCTTTTGTGGTGGTGGGGGCATGGATTACAGTGAAGTTAATGATGGTTCTGTTGGTTATAAGTTACTGGGAACTTGCTATTCTCTGTCTCACTCTATGCGAAAGTTGCAACTTGAAAGATCCCTTAATATTGGACTGATTGCCATAGACAAGATATATGAGTATGTAGAAAGTATCTACTAGAAATCAAAGCATGTATTAACCAAGACTTTACAGTGGCCTCTAACACTTATCTCCAAATCACATTCATACATTTGAGATAAATTTCTAAGTAATAGTTATTAGTCATATGTTGATTATACTTTTGCTCCTTCTATTACCTGTGCCTTCCACCCCATTCTGGTTGAGAACATTCAAACTTTTAATAGATATTGAGAAACAAAAAAAATCAAGCCAGCAAGTTTTGCTACTCATTATTGATAACGATAAAAAGATTTAGGGCTAGGAATAGAAATATCATTGGAAATACTGCCTATAATAAAGCCTATGGATTATTAATCCTTTTAGGCATTTTTAGACTCATTACTATTAGTATAGAGAAGTATGAATTGGCAGACTTTTAAAGTTATGCTACAATATGATCTCTTAAGAAATCAACAGCTAAAGATGTTCTTCCAATGCATGCACTTCGCAAAAAACTGAATAAAATATAAAGCATTAGTTTCCTACTAAGTTCTTGACAGTGATTACTTAGAAATGTGATGAATCTCCATATCTGAAAGTAGAAGAGTATGTCTAAAATTTACAAGAATGAGAATTATATGCTCATTCTCATTATGCTATTCCAAAAAAAAAAAAAAAAAAGCAATTCAATATATAACTGGCAAAGGCAAGGAATAATAAGAAAGACAAAACTGTCTTATGGAGTCCAAAAGGCACTTTCCAAAAGATGATTCGCCTATCATAGAGGGTTCTCCTTATCTAGACTCACCCAAGAAATTATTTATTCTAACTGGATATTACTGAATATCATCTGTGCCAACAGCTATTTGAAGTCATAATGCTCAACAGGAAGAGTGGCCATCATGAAGCAATCATACTCCTCAACACAAGAAAAAGCAGGAGGTCTGGTAATCACATCTAACTCACTAAAGACAAGCCCCTAGAGTTTCACACATTTAGAAACCTAGGTTAAAAGAAAATTTGAGAAAACGAGGAAGCAGAGTGTTAAGGGAAAGACTTGTGAAGCATGGTTCTCTGATTGGAAACATCTCTCACCTTCAAAGGGCAACATTCAGTTTTCCAAAACCAAGTGATTACATTCTTAAGTAATTCACACAGCAGTATTGCAATGGATTGAAGACCTATGTGATGCAGATGCTGGCAGCTAGCACTACATCCTTGTTCTAAGAAAATGCACATTATTCTGGATAATTAAATGGGATGTGTTTAGCAATAATTTCACCAAAAGTCTAGCTTCAGACATTATAGTATTTTTTTTACCTACTTTGTAAAGAAAACAACCATTTACCACTGCAAAATCAAAACTGATTTTCTTGTCAAACCAAACTATTTTACTTTGCTTCTTCATGTCGGTACTATACTACTAAAAAACAGGGAAGTTCAGGAAAATTTGATAAGAAAATATATCAGTTCTATTAGTGTTATTTAAAAGATTTATTTACTTATTTGAAAGGCAGACTGACACAGAGGAAAACACAGATATCTTTCATCTGCTGTTTCACTCCCAAATGGCCACAAAGGCCAGGACAGGGGCAGGCCAAAGCCAGGAGCTCAAAATGTCCTGAGTTCTCTAATAGGGGATGCTGGCTTTGCAGGCACCAGCTTAACCTGCTGTGCCACAATGCCAGCCCTAGTTCTGATGGTTTGTTCTAATACAAAATGTTCCCCACATGGATCACACACACAGCAAACCATGGAGTCCACTAGACATTAGAGCTGTTCAATTATGCTAGAATGGAGGAAGAGGGCAAAAAATAACATTAATTAAATTATAGTATATTAACATAATAAAATACAGGCAGACTTTTAACATTAATTTTCAAAAAAAATTAAGAAAAGCCAACCAACCAACCACTCCAAATTCTTCTATACCAACCTGTCGACAAGGGCATGGTCTATACAAAGCTCTTATTCTGCTGATGGAAAATAAAATGCCAGGACCACTTTGCGAAACAGTTGGACAGTATCTACTAAAGCGGAACATGTATATACACTACAACCTAGCAATTTTTTTTACTAAGTAGACAGTCTACAGAAATTGTACATATTCAATATAAATATGTTCAAAAGATATGTTACAAGAAGCTCATAAACCTTCTGTATTATTTTCTGAATATTTTTTAGAACTATGTATTAATTTTAGTTTAATTTTTAGCTTTTTCCAAAAATACTACATACTTAGGTGTTGCTTTATAAACACTGTAATTAAATTAAAGAGTTGTAAAAAGAAATTAATTTCTGCCTTCCCTTTCCAAATCTACTCCCTGAGGTAAGCAATGTTAACTTTTTATGTATGTGTTGTTCTACAATTTCCTCTATGTGCAATTATGAATTTAATTAAAACAAAAGGAGGGGAAGATAATACAGAATATCATCCTATCTCATCTTTTGTGTGAAGACCTTCTTGCCAATAAATTAAAGTTCAGTTTCACAGAATGTAGAAAACAAAATAATAAAGCAGGCAGGTTATCCAGAAGAACTACTGTAAAAAGTGAGTATATAAAATGACACATTTCACAATGATTTTTCTTAGCAGCTGGTTGATACTTAAGGTTCCTGTAATTCAGCCTTCTGGGGCTGATCTAGAACTTTGGCTGTGTTTGGTGTAAAAACCCTTCTAGTTTTTCTTTTCTGTCAGCTTTGATACTTCTCTTGAGTAGAAAATTTGCCTAATTTGTACCCTCGTTCCCAGGGCTGAAGAAATGTTATTTTCCACCAGTTTTAGCTTCTCAAAACCTCTTCACTGGCCAGAAGAAAAATTTTCTTATACCTTCATGCATCAATAGACTAGACTATCCCCCTGATTAACTTCTTTCGAATAAGAGAGTAATCATATGTTATTCAAAGGAAGAAAAATTCTTTATGCCAGTTTCATTCACATTATTGAGCTCCTCCTTCTAGTTCCACAAATACCATGCTCCCTTCCACTAGAGGGCTCTCCACCATAATCCATTCTTGTCTAAGTCTAAAACTACAAATGTAACCACTTCCTGTATAGTGTGACACTACTGACCACACATCTTTCAGTTGGCCTCAGGGTCTGGTTTGCTGGTCCTTACATATTAGTAGTCCCCAGGGTTCCATCTTTAAGCATCTTCTCTTACGCTATACACTTCCTTGGATATTCATTTACCAACAACCATGATTTCAAATGTCACCTAAATGTCAAAGACTTCCAAGGCACCATTATGTTCTTTCAAAACATCTGCCAGATAGCTTCAATGAGAGTTTCCCATAGGTCCTCAACTTAATTCATTATCTTCATCCTTATATCTGCTCTTCTTTCTGTGTCTCTCAGATCTACTTCACCTTCCACTTTACTCTTCCCCCAACTCTCACATGCTCTGAAGCCCCTCACTTTCTCTTCCTAAAAATTCTCATTTTCTCCCCGTAGCTCATTCTTAAAGTTAGAATCTCAGCCTGTTTTGCCTGGACAATTGCCCTAACTTTGACGAAAAGAACATTACATCTAAGACAAAGTACAAAATCCTCATGATTAGCTCTTTTCGAATTTCCCAGTTGAAAAAGTGAAACATCCTACTTCAAGTAATCTCCTACTTGAGAACTGGCATCATTTCTATAATTCACCTTCCACAGTGCAACTAAGGTCATTTAAAAATTTCAAGTTAAAACACCTGACTATATTCTTTACAAAATGTCAAGCAAGTAAAAAACAAGCAGAGGAAAAAAAGTCTTTCCTCTATTTCTACCTCTCCTCTCATTCCACATCCTATTCATATTCTGATTATCAGGTAAGAATCCACTAAGACTTTCCCTTATGCATTTAAATAAACATAGGCACATACTTCTGAGAAGGTACTTCAAAAGTTTTTGTGGAAAATGGACTTAGAAGACTAGTTTACTGTGGGGCAAATTTTTTTGAAATCCATAAAGGAGGTCTCCAAAAAGTTTATGGAAATGTGTATGTATTATGTATGATTTCCAAACATTTTCTGCACCAATATAAACTTATCTTTTAAATACATCATTCAACACATTTTTTGAAGCACGCTTGTGAGGGTGGAGAGAGAAGTTTTTTTTTTTTTTTAACATATATTTGGGATTACTCTACACATAATAAATGGTCTACTTTCTCACATAATATCTTGAATTTTCTCATGTACTATATTATAAATACTCCTCATTCTAATGGTTACATGGCATTCTATACCATAATTCATTAAAATATTCATCTATTATTGAATTACAGTTTTTGCTAACTTTTTATTATTATAAATGATGATGCAATGACACCTTGTATATCTTTGTGCACATGAATATTTCTTATGGGTGAATTCACAGAAATGGAATGTTTGATTCATAGTGTATGAACAGCATTTAAGGTTTTAATAGATATAACCAAATTATTCCTTACAGAACAACAGTCATGAGACTGTGTCCCTACATTCTCAACATTACTGAACATTATGAAACTTTTTTGAAGTTTAATTTTCTTTTTGCAAATGTATGTCATTTTAAAAATCCTAAGCAATTCAGAGGAAAGGAAGAAAATAAAAGTGAATATGAAACACACAAACTCAAATTCTCACCACTTAGAAATAATGACTCGCACTCTAAGATCATGCCAAGCACAAAGTGTAAGCAAAAATAATTACTAAAATGAGATCATTCTACAGACAGCATTTTAAAATGTAAAAGCATTAAATTCAGTTTGATTTCAACATGAGACAAATTTTTTAAAAGCTCAGGTGAAAAAAATGAGACATTCTGAGAATTAGTAAATGCTTCTATAGAAGAAATGATATTTCTAAGAGTCCATTAAAGCAGAGGAAAAGAAT